TGGCCCCCAGAGGCAACAGCCCAGGGACCACAGGGCTCAGAAGCTAAGGACTGAAGAGAGACTTGCCTGCAGGCTGAAGAGGGGGGTTTCTGTGGACCGACAACTATAACCTTACTGTTTACTGATCCTGACTTGTGGTAACCTATTGGCTTCCATAATAAATCCTTTAATCGTGGGGGGAAAAGATGAAATAAAAATCATTATCCCCACCTCTTTCATCTCCTTTGCAGTATCTTTGAACTCCTAAATCCATCAACAGTTTTATCATCATTCTAATATGTGAACACACCTGCTTCTTTCATAAACTGTAATGGTTATGATTTTTTTGCAACAGGATACCTCCGTTTTCAAAACAGGCATTGAAGCACAACACCCACCTATGTTTAAACAAAGTTAACCTCATGACTCACCTCATTCCCACCAACTGCCTTGGTTAAAATCACTGCAGAAGACACAGGGGGAGGCATGCAGCCTACCGTCTGCAATCTGAAAAATGAAAGAAAATGCAATTAGCAATCATTTCCACTAGATTTATTCTAAAGTAGCAGTGCTGAGCAAATGAACATAGAGAGCGCTGCATGATGCGCATGCCTGACGAGCGGACTGAAGTCTGCGGACGGCGAGGCTGCTTAAAAGATGCTGCAAAATGCACGGGTTCAGAGCTCTCAGTCAGTTCCGGATGTGAATGATCTTATTTCTGAAGTTACTGAAGCTCTTATTACACAATTCAAAAGAGCCAAGTTATGGTGCAAGTAGTGACTAAGACAATAACAAAAATGATTAATCATTTGATGTTTTTCATAATTGCTATTGAGCTTAGTCCAACTCATGACCACCTAATAGAAAACATCGCTAATAGTTTTTATTCTACTTTATTTTATTTGTATTTTTATTGTAAAAAGCTACATCTTTACTAAAAGAATTCATACTAAAAGCATAAAGTTTTATTTTAATCATTTTCTTGGGGGCTCATACTATTCTTATCACAATCCATACATCCATCCATTGTGTCAAGCACATTTGTACATTTGTTGCCATCATTCTCAAAACATTTGCTTTCTTCTTGAGTCCTTACTATCAGCTCCTCATTTTTCCCCTTCCTTCCCCACACCCCTCTCCCTCATGAACCCTT